CTAACTGCTGATCCCAATCTACCTATATTTTTAAATAGTAAAATGTGTTGTTATAATATAGTTTGTAATATTTCCTTATAGTTTTAAAATTATGAATTATATCTCTATTTTCAGTGATGACTTAATTAATTTGTACCTTCTCTTTTTTCTTCTTTCAGACATTCCAACTAACAATCTGTCAATTTCATTTTTTTCTACAAAAAGAGTCAATTTTTGTTTTGATATTTTCTCTAAAAACTTTTGATAATTTCTGCCCAAGTGTTATCATTCCCTTTCTTTTGTTTACTTTAAATTTGGTTTGTTCTTCATTATTCTGGTCATTAAGATAGAAGCTCAGAATTTTGATTTTGGACTTTTTTCTTTACTAGTGTGAGAATTTAAAATTATACACTCTCTTTTAACCACTGTTTTAACCAAACTTTATAAGTTTTGGTATGGTGTTAGCTATACACATATCAATGTATGTATATAATATAATTTTAGTTGTTTTGATTTTTTGACTCAGATTATTTTGGAAAAGATATTGTTTAATTTTTCAATATTTAGAAATTTTTAAAATCCTTCCTGCTGTTGATTCTAATTTAAAGTAGAAATGAAAATTAAATAAGAAATTTAAACTTCTAATAATTTTGGAGAACATTTATAATTTCAATTATTTTGGACTTATCAGAATGTTTTCTGGAAGTGCTCATTTTTGGTATGTGTCTTTCAAGCTGCTGGGTCCAGGAGTAGAATTTCACAGTCGCCCCTATGATATCTAGCCACCTTAACTACTATGTCATCAGCTGGCCTAAGGAGTCTCACTTTTTTTTCAAGGTTTTTGCCATAGAGTCTGTCTGCTCTCCAGAGAAAGAGAGAAAGAAATAGTAAATGATAATGTGAGAAATCACCCCATGGGGTGGGAAGCCAAACCACAATCCCTCCTCTTCCATTCTCTTCTTGGGATTTTGGGAATATACGCATATGTGCCCAGTGTGATTTTCAAGTTGCCAGATCTGGAACTGGAACTACAGTTAGCCAAGTGGGAGTCCAGCATCGTAACCACTATAGCACCTGCTGACCTCAAGCCCCTCTTTTATAGGACTGGGATCAACAGGTGCTTCACTGCACAGTTGAAAAGAGTTCATCATTACATGTTCAACACATTGTTGTTAGGCACACCGTAGTGACAACAAAGTAACTGCAGGAGTAGGCTGACAGGTCCTGCTATATCTCTGGACTCTCAGCTTTTAAAAGCAAATTTTACTGTTTTACTTTCCTTGTTCTGAACAGGGCTTTGTATAGTTCAAACATATTGGAGATATGTGACTTACTGCTAAAATTGGGATACTTGGCCTCCAGAAATTAAATATACATACATATATATGTATATATATACATACATATATATATATATACATATATATATATACACACATATATGTATGTATTTATACTTCAAATTCGTAGGCTTTGTCATCCAATTTACTGTATAACTCAAGACTTTCTAATATAAAATGTATTTATTGGAAAAATTATCTCTATCAAAATCATTTTTTATTATGTGAACAGAAACTTAGGAAACATTTCCCTAGTTACTTAGCAACAACATAGAAGCCGATAAAACTCTTTTAGTGATAGCTCATTAATTTGAGTTATCAATTCTGTATTATATTCTAAAACATGAGGGATAAAAGGCAGTATAAACTGTTGAAAAACACCGCCATTCACATTATGATATTTAAATAACTCAACCTTTTTTTTTAGAGAG